CATGAGTCAATAGTGAGATGCAGCAGCTAAGAAGATCAATACAATTTTAAGGTTGCATAGATAGGGATATAGTGTCTATATTGGGGAAACTAATAGTTCCACTCCAAATCACGGAAACTTCCACTGTCTAAGGAATTATGGGAGTTGCATTCCAAAAACCAAACTTTTCCAAGCAATGCATGGTTCCTGGCTTGTGTCAGAGCCATATGCTCAAGAAAATTTATTTTAACAGTGCCAGACTGTTTGGTTTGCTTCCTGAGTTATGTGTTTGTGGCCTTTCCTTCTCATGTAGGTTTCTGCAAACCTGAAGCTGAATGAGAAGCAGGAGGTGAAGAAAGAACTGGTAAGCATTCCTGCATTCTGCTTTGAATATCAGTATGGATTTAGACAGGTAACTTGCTTTGTAGAGAGATTTTAGGCTTGATTTGGTCTTTCCCTTAACTCTTTCCTTTTCCCTCATCTGGATGTAGGTGAACGAAATCTTGACGGCGCTGAGCCTCCTGGAGTGTTCTTACACCCGAACCATGTCCCTGTCCGGAGGGCAGCGCAAGCGCCTCGCCATTGCTCTGGAGCTGGTCAACAATCCTCCAGTCATGTTTTTTGATGAACCCACCAGGTAGGAACCAGTCTCCCCTGGTCCTTCTGGTCCTGATCCATAAACAACATGTGGGTAAAGCAAGCAAGAGCTAAATATTCCCCCATCATTGTTGGCGAGAGATATCTCAGACCAAAGCAAAACCTGGAAGAGCTCCCTCTCTCATCCATCCATCCATCCATATGTTCTGTCTATCTATCTATCTATCTATCTATCTATCTATCTATCTATCTATCTATCTATCATCTATCCATCCTGTAGATCTACTTCAGCAAAAATAAAAGATCTATCTGTCTTATCTAATCCATCCATATGTCCTGTATATCTTCTTCAACAAGACCTTGAAAGATCAATCATCTATCTATCTATCCATCCATCCATCCATCTATCTGTCCATCCTGTAGATCTCCATCAGCAAAAATGAAGGGGCTCTATCCATCCATCCATCCATCCATCTTGTAAATCTCCTTCAGCATAAAGATCTATCCATCCATCCATCCTGTGGATCTCCTTCACCAAAAATGAAGGGGCTCTATCTATCTATCTATCTATCTATCTATCTATCTATCTATCCATCCATCCATCCATCCACCCATCCATCATCCACCCATCCATTTTGTAGATCTCCTTCAGTATAAGATCCATCCATCCATCCTGTGGATCTCCTTCAGCAAAGGAATCTGTCTATCTATCTATCTATCTATCTATCTATCTATCTATCTATCTATCTATCTATCTATCCATCCACCCATCAACTTTTATCTCTATCTATCTATCTATCTATCTATCTATCTATCTATCTATCTATCTATCTATCTATCTATTTATCTCTTATCTATCCACCCATCTATCATTCCTACAGAACTCCTTCAGCAGAAACTCAAAGATCTATCTGTTTATCCACGGTATCTATTTATTTATTTATCTATCCATCCATCCATCCTATAGGTCTCCTTCAGCAAGACTTGACAAATCTCTATCCATCCATCCATCCATCTATCCTGTAGGTCTCTTTCATCAAGACCTGAAAGATCTGTTTGTCTGTTTACCTACCTACCTATCCTGTATATCTCCTTCAGCGAAACCTGATCTAACTGTCCATCCATCCTGTAGATTTCCTTCAGAGCTAAGGACACCATTCCATGATAATTAGTACTTTTAATAATTACTCTTTTCAGGGTACAACACCTAGAATGTTTTGGGCCACCACATCTGGGTGCTGTATCCCTTTCAAAGACCCCACCAGAAGCAGGCAGATGGTTGAAATTGACCACAAAGCAGCCCAGGCGTACCCTGGCTTTCTGGAATTATTTTCTGACCCCAGTGTTTTCATCTCCACAGTGGTCTGGACAGTGCGTCCTGCTTCCAGGTGGTCTCCCTTCTGAAATCCCTGGCCCAAGGCGGGCGCACCATCATCTGCACCATCCACCAGCCCAGCGCCAAGCTCTTTGAGAAGTTTGACAAGGTGAGGACACTACTACTGGATGGGACAACAACATGGAAATCTGTCAAGGGCTCCTTGTAACTGAGACCTTTGTCCTGATGGTGCCTTTTCTCCTCTTCCTTCCAGCTCTATATCCTGAGCCAGGGTCAATGCATCTTCAAGGGAGCCGTGCCCAACCTCATCCCATACCTAAAAGGGCTGGGCCTTCATTGTCCCACCTACCATAACCCAGCAGATTTCAGTAAGTCATGGTGGATATTGAAGGCATTTCCTTTTCCATGGTTCAATTCACAACATTGTTTCTCTAATGCAAAGCTTGACTGATTTGTTGCAACTTGCAAAGATTCTTCAGACAGTATAGTTACTTAATCTCCTCCTTCCTTCTCAGTCCTTATGGTGCCAGGACTCACCCTCTGCTCTGCTTAGCATGTTGCTGCAAATAGGGTAGATATTAAGCATATTGCATCCTTAAGGAACTGAAAAGACGTTATTGCGCTTATTTTATCTTGATTTAGTAAAAGTGTCTTTAGATTCCTGTCTTAATTTTCCAAGCTGCAAAATATATATTTTCTGAATGTGTGTATGTGTTGAAAGCAGTGTGCAATTGAATGCACAACGCTTAATGTCATCCCTAAGTGTCAGGTTTTGGCCCAGAGATCTCAATCCTGAACTGGCAACCCTATTGTTGTCATTCATACAAACATACGTTGTTGTTGTTGTTGTTGTTGTTGTTGTTATGATATATTCTGCCTTTCTCCCAATCTCTGATGGTCCAGAATGCCACTCAGTAAAAGCTTGGGAGGTTGAGAAGCCATGAGGATGATTAGGATGATGTTAACCCTTTGTATGTGTGGGTTCAACCAATCATTGGTCTGGTTGAAGGAGTAGCTTCACTGAAGAAGAGTTGGTCTTTTCCACTTTGCAATTCCTGTGGCTGCTGGAGCAATTGCCCGGGTGTCATTTGTGACACACTGATGCACAACCCAACTCATGTCTGATTTATTGTCCATTTTATACCCATTGTATTTCTTATTTACAGTATTTATATTCCTCCTGTCTCACCCCACAGGGGACTCAGGACGGATTACAATGCACGTATACATGGCAAACATTCAGTGCCATTAGACATACAACATATATAGACAGACACAGAGGCAATTTAACATTCCAGCTTTCCGGCTTCATGAGGGTATGCTTGATTCTGGCCACAGGGCGAGTTGCCACTTCACTCTCCACTTGTGACACCAAGTCCTTGATGGAGTACTTTCTCATTCTTATGCACGCTGCTGGAAGGTTTTATGGTGTCATAAATTAGTTAAATTAGCCTCCCCGCATAAAGCTATACCTAAATTTTCTACTTGACAGACGCAACTGTCTTTCAGGCTGCTTAGGTCAACAGCAAGCTAGACTATTAATGGTCGGAAGCTCACTCCGCCCCAGGCTTTGAACTCATGACCTCTCAGGCAGTAGTGATTTAATGCAGCTGGTTACTAACTAGCAGTGCCATAGCCTGGTCCATTGTACATAATTGGACCCAAATATCTGCAGGTTTTGGTACCCATGGGATGCTGATTGTATTGCACCGAGAGATGGAAACCCTGGGAGGTGAAGTCATGTGCAATCTCACACATGTACAGACTCACTCATGTGCATGACTGGTGTCCTTGCAGTTATCGAAGTGGCTTCCGGAGAGTATGGCGACCTCAACCCGCTCTTGTTCCAAGCGGTCCAGAATGGCCTGTGTGCCATGGCAGACAAGAAGAGCAGCCCAGACAAAGTGGATGCCTCTTGCCCGGGACCGTGTGTGGCGGTGAGTCTGCTTGAGGAAACCCAGCCCCATGAACCCCATTGTTATCATAGATGGCGAGGAATGCTGGAAGTTGCAATCCAACAGTAGCTGGAAGGCTGTAGGATTCCCAGTCCTGTTTTGCATTGGCAAAATAACTTGCTTGTTTCTCCACTTTTCCACTGGATAACGCACGGTGATTGACCTTATTACTGACCAAGTTACTGAGTTTGGGAGTACTTTTTGGACTACAGTTTCCAGAATCCATTAAACAATATGTTCTTCTCATATGCCTTGAAGTTATTTCAGACCTACTGTGATTCTTGGCAGGGAAGGCTGAAGATCTCTCTGTCTGTCCTTCTCTTCCTTTTTGGAAACAGACTGTGAATCCTTCCACTAAAAGCTTTCCTCCACTGTCATTGGCAGGCCTCTCAGGTGGCCTCTCAGCCAAAGAGAAGGCTGTTTCTGAGATTCCAAGTGGGGAGGGGAGAGCAGTCATGCTCAGCGCATGGCAGCATGGTGTTCATGTGCAGGCAAGGGAAAGCATGTGAGGTGGGAGAGAGGCTCACACCAGTGAGTCCCTTCAAGGCATGGAGGTTCTGTGTGGGAAGTTTGGCTAAATTCTATTGTTGGTAGGGTTCAGAATTCTCTTTGATTGTAGGTGAACTATATATCCCAGCAACTACAGCTTCCAAATGTCAAGGTCTATTTTCCACAAACAATGTTCACATTTGGGGCATATTGAGTATGCATGTCCAGTGTTCACATTTGGGGCATATTGAGTATGCATGTCAAATTTGGTCCAGATTCATCATTGTTTGAGAACAGAGTGTTCTCTGGATGTAGGTGAACTACAGCTCCCAAATGTCAAGGTCTATTTTCCACAAACTCCACCAGTGTTCACATTTGGGGCATATTGAGTATGCATGCCAAGTTTGGTCCAGAGCCATCATTGTTTGAGAACACAGTATTCTCTGGATGTAGGTGAACTACAACTCCAAAACTCAAGGCCAATGCCCGCCAAACCCTTCCAGCATTTTCTATTGGTCATGATAGTTCTTTGTGCCAAGACTGGTTCAATTCCATTGTTGGTGGAGTTCAGAATGCCCTTTGATTGTAGGTGGACTATAAATCCCAGCTACTACAGCTCCCAAATGACAAAATCAATCCCTCCCCAACCTCACCAGTATCCAAATTTGGGCATATTGGGTATTTGTGCCAAATTTGGTCCAGTGAATGAAAATACATCCTGCATATCAGATATTTACATTACGATTCAGAACAGTAGCAAAATGACAGTTCTGAAGTAGCAACAAAAATAATATTATGGTTGGGGGTCACCACAACGTAAGGAACTGTATTAAGGCATCGAGGCATTAGGAAGGTTGAGAAACACTGATCTAACCTCTCTCTTTTTTCTGGCTGTGGGTCATCCTCAGGATCTGGACCACATCGAGAGCCACACGTTTGCTACCAGCACCTTGACCCAGTTCTGCATTCTCTTCAAGAGGACCTTCATCTCCATCATGCGAGACACGGTAAGGGTCCCATAAGGTGTGTATTTGGGTTTGTGCAAAGACGCAGTGAGTTGAAGAGGAAAATTACAGTGGTTCTTTCAGCCCAGAGCGGAGAGCCTACAATTAGGATGCAGTGGGTAGAGCTGCTCGTTTGGGATTGTCTTGAGTCTTAACCTGAGACCAATGACGGCCCTTGACTGCTCCCAGACCAACCAAAATGAGAAAACTACTCCTTCTAACTTGGAATACACCTACACTGTAGAATGAATCCAACTCTGACTCCACTTTCTTTGCCATGGCTCCTTGCTGTGTAGTTTGGTCAGACATGTGCACTCTTGGCAGAGAATACTATAGTAAAGGAAAGGTAAAGGTTTCCCCTGACATTAAGTGTAGTTGAGTCTGACTCTGAGGGTTGGTGCTCATCTACATTTCTAAGCCGAAGAGCTGGTGCTGTCCATTGACACCTCCTAGGTCATGTTGCCAGCATGATTGTATGGAGCGCTGTTACCTATTGATCTACTCACATTTGCATGTTTTCAAACTGCTAGGTTGGCAGAAGCTGGAGCTAACAGCAGGAGCTCACCCCGCTCCCCAGATTCGAATTGCTAACCTTTCGGTCAGCAAATTCAGCAGCTCAGTGGTTTAATTTATTTATATCATTTATTTATTTCCGACATTTATATGCCGCCCTTCTCACCCCGAAGGGGACTCAGAGCGGCTTACAATATAATGTATTACATTATTAGCATAGTACAATATCAGTATTAATTATTACTATATTGTATTATACCATTATATTGTAATATTATTAGTAATATTACATGCAATATAAATATTTAATAATAATATATTAGTAGTATTATATTGCATTACATTATAATATTATAAATATTATATGTATATACAATATATTATATTTGTTATATTATATTATATTATATTATATTATATTATATTATATTATATTATATTATATTATATTATATTATATTATATTATATTATATTATATTATATTTAACCCACTGCACCACCAGGGGCCCCTGGAGAATGCTAAAGACCTTGTAAAACTACAACTCCCTGGATTACATTTCATTGAACCATAACAGTTCAAGTGGTGTTAAAATGAATTCATTCCACAATGTAGATGTAGCCCAGATTTAATTTAAGCAACATGCTTCTAGTGGATTGCAGAGCAGAATGGAGGGTGAGTCCTGGCACCATGCTTTGCAGAGAAAGTGGAAGCTAGGCATTTATATAGACTCACCTGGAAAGTCTGTGCAAGCTGTAACAACAAAACAGTGAAGTCTTCATCAGTTGTAGATGTCTCCTAGTTTACTAAATGATTGGAAGATTTGCAGGCAGTTCTTCCTTGGAGATAATTCTCTGCAAAACTAGAAAATTTGCAGCTTTGCTCCCTCTTGGAGATGATCCACAAAAACTGGAGATAGGTTTCAAGAACAGGAACCAGCAAAAAAAGATCAAGGGAACAGTTTGGAGAACAATTTGACTCTCTCTTGGCAATAATAATAATAATAATAATAATAATAATAATAATAATAATAATAAGTTGGTCTCATCTATTTGGGGATTGAAATTCAAATTCAGCCTTTCCAAATGATTGCCAGACGATGCAAAGAAAATAAGAGTAGTTGTAGGCTTTTCAGGCTATATGGCCATGTTCTAAAAGCATTCTCTCCTGAAGTTTTTCCTGCATCTATGGCAAGCATCCTCAGAGATGCAGGCGAAATGTCACAGGAGAGAATGCTTCTAAACATGGCCATATAGCCCAAAAAACCTACAACAACCCAGTGATTTTTTTTGTTGTGTCAGGAGCGACTTGAGAAACCGCAAGTCGCTTCTGGTGTGAGAGAATTGGCCGTTTGCAAGGACATTGGCTAGGGGACGCCCGGATGATTTGATGTTTATATCATCCTTGCGGGGGGCTTCTCTCATGTCCCCACATGAGGAGCTGGAGCCGATAGAGGGAACTCATCCGCCTCTCCCCAGATTCAAACCTGCGACCTTTTGGTTTAACCCACTGCGCCACTGGGGATTCCAGCCATGAAAGCTTTCGACAATACAAAGTAAGAGTAAATGTATTGCCTTTCATTTTGCGTAGGTGCTGACTCACCTGCGGTTCATGTCCCACATCTGCATCGGCGTATTGATCGGGTTGCTCTATTTGCACATCGGCAACGATGCCGCCAAGGTCTTCAACAACACGGGGTTCCTCTTCTTTTCCATGCTCTTCCTCATGTTCGCCGCTCTGATGCCCACCGTCCTCACGTGTAAGTTCACTCATGGATCTCTTAGGGTTTTCTTAGCCAAGGAAGACTCAAGGGTGGTTAAGCCTGCAACCATCTAGAGCAGTGGTTCTCAACCTTCCTAATGCCGCGACCGTTTAGTACAGATCCTCATGTTGTGGTGACCCACAACCATAACGTTATTTTCGTTGCTACTTCATAACTAATTTTGCTACTGTTATGAATTGTAACAATGATGGAGCTGGACCAAACTTGGCACGGACGCTCACACAACAGTAGTTGTGAATATCTGATATGCAGGATGTATTTTCAGTCACTGGACCAAATTTTGCTAAATACTTGATATGCCCAAAATTTGAATACTGGTGGGGTTGGGGTGATTGATTTTGTCATTTGGTAATGCTGGAGTTGCTGGGATTTATAGTTCACCTTAAATCAAAGAGCCTTCTGAACTCCATCAATGATGGAACTGAATCAAACATGGCACACAGAATTCCCATGACCAAGAGAAAACACTGGGAAGGTCTGGTGGACATTGACCTTGAGTTTTTGGAGTTGTAGTTCACCTATATCCAGACTGTGGATACAAACAATGATGGATCTGGATCAAACTTGGCACAAATACTCAATATGCCCAAATGTGAACACTGGTAGAGTTTGGAGAAAATAGACCTTGCCATTTGGGAGTTGTAGTTGTTGGGATTTATAGTTCACCCACAATGAAATAGCATTCTGAACCCCACCAATGATAGAATTGGACCAAACTTTCCACACAGAACCCCCATGACCAACAGAAAATACTATGTTTTCTGATGGCCTTTGGTGACCCCTCTGACACCCCCTTGCGACCCCCACAGGGGTCCCGACCCCCAGGTTGAGAAACACTGGCTTAGTCAAGGAAGACTCAAGGATGGTTAAGCCTGCAACCATCTAGCCTAGAGCCTTCAACCCTTTGTGCCTTTTCACCCATCTCTTCCATCTCTTTGATGTTTCAGTCCCGCTGGAGATGTCTGTATTTCTGAGAGAGCACCTCAATTACTGGTACAGCCTGAAGGCCTATTTCCTGGCCAAAACCATGGCAGATGTTCCTTTTCAGGTAAGGGATGAGCAGGTCGGCTTTAACCTAGACTGGTGTCTGGAATCACCCCACTTTTTTCCCAGCAGAGTGATTGAGGAACTCAGAGACATTCCCCATTACTCTTCTGTCATCCCACTTTTTGGTTGGTTAGTTGATTGCATACTGGTGTGAGAGAATCAGCCATCTACAAAGACGTTGCCCAGGAGACACCTGGATGTGTTATGATCCTAGTGTGAGGCTTCCCTCATGTCCCCCACTGCCAGAAGAGACAGAGAGTTTCATCTATGCTGACGATCGTGCCATCACCGCTCAAGTAGGGAGATTTGAAATGGTTTGTTGTAGGGTTTTTTGGGTTGTATGGCCATGTTCTTCTGACATTTCACCTGCATCTGTGGAAGGCACCCCGGAGGGTGTGAGGTTTGTTGGAAACTGGAATTATGTTTATGTATCTGTGGAAGGTCCAGAGTGCGAGAAAGAACTCTTGTCTGTTGGAGATAGGCATGAATATGTATTGTCGAAGGCTTTCATGGCTGGAATCACTGGGTTGTTGTAGGTTTTTTTGGGCTATATGGCCATGGTCTAGAGGCATTTTCTCCTGACGTTTTGCCTGCATATTTGGTAAGCATCCTCAGAGGTAGTGAGGTCTGTTGGAACTAGGAAAAGGGGTTTATATATCTGTGGAATGACCAGAGTGGGACAAAGGACTTTTGTCTGCTGGAGCTAGGTGTGAATGTTTCAACTGACCACCTTGATTAGCATTTAATGGCTTGGAAGTGCCTGGGGGAATCTTTTTTTGTTGAGAGGTGATTTGATGTGCCTGATTGTTTACTCTCTGTTGTTTTGCTGTTGTAATTTTTGAGTTTTTTTAATACTGGTAGACAGATTTTGTTCATTTTCATGGTTTCTTCCTTTCTGTTGAAATTGTCCACATGCTTGTGTATTTCAATGGCTTCTCTGTAGAGAGTAGAGATGAAGATCCACCCAGAGGAAAATGTTCTTGCCATACATCAAGGGAACCACTGACCGCAGAGGGAAGCTGATGAGGAAACACAACATACAAACCACCTACAGACCCACCAAGAAAATGAAATACACAACCATGTGGACAATTTCAACAGAAGGAGGAAACCATGAAAATGAACAAAATCTGGCTACCAGTATTAAAAAAACTCAAAAATTACAACAGCAAAACAACAGAGAGTAAACAATCAGGCACATCAAATCACCTCTCAAAGAAAGATTCCCCCAGGCACTTCCAAGCCATTAAATGCTAATCAAGGTGGTCAGTTGAAACATTCACACCTAGCTCCAGCAGACAAGAGTCCTTTGTCCCACCCTGGTCATTCCACAGATATATAAACCCATTTTCCTAGTTCCAACAGACCTCACTACCTCTGAGGATGCTTGCCATAGATGCAGGCGAAACGTCAGGAGAAAATGCCTCTAGACCATGGCCATATAGCCCGAAAAAACCTACAACAACCCATAGGCATGAATGTTTCAATTGGCCACCTTGATTAGCATTTAATGGTCTGGCAGTTTTTTTGGTGTGGCTTGTTACTGCCTGGGAAATTTCCTTGTTGAGAGGTGACCAGGTGTTTCTGATTGTTTCCTGGCTGGAGTTTGAGTTTTGTATTTTATTTACTGTTATAATTTTGGAGTTTTTTTTTATTACGGGGAGCCAGTTTTTGTTCATTTTCCTGGTTTCCTCCTTTCTGTTGAAATTGTCCACATGCTTCTTGTGGATTTCAATGGCTTCTCTCTGACATGGTGGTTGTGAGAGTGGTCCAGCATTTCTGTGTTCTCGAATAATATGCCATGTCCAGGTAGGTTCCTCAGGTGCTCTGCTATGGCTGAGTTCTCTGGCTGAATTAAGTCTGCAGTGCCTTTCATGTTCCTTGATTCGTGTCTGGGCAATGCTCCAAGATGAACTGAACCACCTAAACTGGGCTTTATAGGCCAATGGATACTCCACCTCTGTACCCAGGCAGGGAAGGTGAGGAAGAGGAGGCAACACCCCATACTTTCAATACCATACTTTTCAATGACATACCTCTCTGATTCTTTTTGCAGGTCATTTGCCCCATCACGTACTGCAGCATCGTCTACTGGATGACGGGACAACCTCCTGAAGCCACACGCTTCCTCCTTTTCTCTGCACTTGCCACCTCCACCGCTCTGGTGGCCCAGTCCTTGGGGCTCATGATTGGAGCGGCATCCACCTCTTTGCAGGTAAGGCACCCAGGGAAGTAGAGAAAGTGCATTCAAGGCTCCTACAGATCCCATTATAATCCATATTGAACTTTGGAGAGGTTGCTAAAGTCAACGAAAAGTCATTAGAACAGGAAAAAACATGATCTGAAGAACCCAAAAGTTTCTCCACTAATAACACAATCTAACACGATTTTTGTTCCTGGGTTATAAATGTCATTTATTGTTGTGGCACAATGGGTGCTGGCTGAATTGATGACCTGAAGGTCAGCGGTTCAAATCCGCGAGATGGGGTGAGCTCCCATCTGTCAGCTCCAGCTTCCCACATGAAGACATGAGAGAAGCCTCCCACAGGATTGTAACACATCTGGGCATCCCCTGGGCAATGTCCCTGCAGATGGCCAATTATCTCACACCAGAAGCGACTTGCAGTTATCTCAAGTCCCTTCTGATACAATTAAAAAAGAACTTGAAGTCCACCTGACCTAACTTTCTGAACCCAGCGTCCACCAATGGTGGGACATGTAGTCCAAGACTCCCAGAGGCCCCTGGGTTGCAAAAGTCAGGTCTTATTGGAATGGGGTTTTCATGACTCTTTCTTGCGATTGCCCTCCCAGGTGGCCACATTCGTGGGTCCCGTGACCGCCATCCCGGTCCTTCTCTTCTCTGGCTTCTTTGTGAGCTTCAAGACCATCCCAACATATTTGCAGTGGAGTTCCTACGTCTCTTATGTCAGGTGGGGCATCTCTTGCTTTCTTGCTCACTTTACTATTTGCTGCACTGGTCAGGATGTGTTATGTGCTGCTGGTCATAGCTATTCATGCATTCAGTTTGTCATTTTTGACCACATATTCCAGTTTTGAAATATTGGAGGGCATGCACTCTACCCATGTGTCTCTCCAATATCTATCTATATATATCTATACCTATCTTTCTTTCACACACACATTTCCCCCATTAGAGAAAAAGACCTCCCCACATGACTTCAGAGCTTTTATGGGCTCGTAAAGGGGGGGGGGATCCTATTTCTATACCATTGGTTCCTACAACCCATATGTGTTTCATTCCAAGACCCCCTCTCGAAATACCAAAAGTAATGGATGTTTGCTCAATTCCCATTATATACCAGGACATGGTAAAATGGCATGAATGGCTCATATCACAACCTGAGGATCTGTGAAATGGTGAGCCTCTACAGAAAAATATTCATGCATATCAATTTAGTAGTGGCTTCTTAATGCTTAGACCAGCAGTTGGCTGAATCCATGGATGCAGAACTCTTGGATTCTGAAGGCCAACTCTACAAGGTAAAAGAGACTGATGGTATTTTGAAAGTAAGCTTCCAAACTCTGATGAGACTGTTCTTTCCGATCAGGTATGGTTTTGAAGGCGTCATCCTCACCATCTACTCCTTGGAGCGTGAAGAGTTGGAGTGCAAGCTGCCCGAGTGTCCCTTCAAGGACCCCATGAAGATCCTCAAGGAGCTGGACGTGGAGGAAGCCAAGCTCTACCTGGACTTCATTGTCCTGGGGATCTTCTTCATCTGCCTCCGGCTCCTGGCCTACCTCACCCTCAAGTACAAGGTGAAATCCGAAAGATAGGAAGGAGAACTTGGGGACACTTTGGGCGGACACCGTGGGATGGGCGACAAAACATTTCCCGGAAAACAATGGGCAGAGAAGGGGCTCGTCGGATCTTTGGGGAGAGAACGACCAGCTGAGAAGACTTGACGGAGATGTCTCCAAACAGTTTTAACTTTTCCAAGCATTGCAGATTGGTCTCTCTTTCTCTTTCTCTCAGTGTTTTGGTACAATTCTGGAACGTGTCAAAACTTTCTTCCCAGAGCAATATCAGTCGGAAGGAACTTGCGACCTCCGCAAAAATCCACATTAATATCTTCACGGAACATTGTCTCAAAGGGACGCTAACCAACAAGGAAGCTTGGTTTCTGGTCCATTGGGAAGAAGATGGAAAGGGCGATAACAGTGTTTTTTGGCGAGGGGGGGATGCTAGGATCTATAGGCGGGTGGGAAAGCAGGGGTGGAGAAATCCTCTACAAAGCACAGTTTTCTAGCACCGTTTGCCCCAGTGCCATTTTTGACTTGCTCGCTTTCACAGACATTGACTTGTAGCATGTGTCTCAATATTACGAAACCGAGAGCCGTATTAGGAGTGTTGCACAAGGCTTTGAATGCTTACCATAACCATAGAAGGGGAGGGAGGGGCGTTTTGAGTCTTCCCTGCCCCTTATTTCCCTTCCCAAAAATCTCTGGTGTTTGTAGGAGAAACTTAATGTGGGATTGAGAATTGCAAGCAGGACAAAAAAGGTCAGCTCCCCAGAACTTGGAAAACTCTCATTTTAAAACTGCATAATTTAACAGCCAGCATAAACTGCAAAAAAAAAAAAAAAAAAGTGGCCAAGGGATTCTGCGAATTGCAATCCCCAGAAAAGTATATTTTCCAGAGTTTGTGCATATAGGTTGAAGCTGGGCTTAGATGTATTGTAGCACTTTGGAGACCTGCAGACTGTGGTGCGTCAGAGATGGTCGTGATTCTGCCAAAGCGCAGAACGTTGTGCCGAATGTGGCATCGTCAACTTCTTGAGAATCTCCTCTTTGGCTTATTGGAAAAGCAGAGGGGCATGATTCTCTAAAGCAGAAGATTGGAAATCGTGGTGCGAAGCTGTAAAAGAAATGCTGCAAAAGGAAATGGGAGGTGCAAATCGGTCAAATAATTATACATAGGTTGCCGAATTTACTTTTACTTGGCATGGAAATCTAACCAAAGCATGAGCAGAATGTAAGCTCAGGTTGAACAAACCCTTGGGAATGTATAGGCTTGAGAAAGACAATCATGAGTTTTGAGATGAATGACATAGAGAACAGTTTGAAAACTATGAAAGTTGGTGAACAAATTATTTCTCTAGAGACCTCAAATGACCTATTTTCACCCTATTTCCAGCCTTCCTAGTCACTCCCTGGTGGCACAGTGGTTAAACTGCTGAGCTGCTGAACTTGCTGATTGAAAGGTTGGTGGTTCGAATCCGGGGAGTGGGGTGAGCTCCCGCTGTTAGCCCCAGCTTCTGCCAACCTAGCAGATCGAAAACATGCAAATGTGAGTAGATCAATAGGCACCACTTCTGTGGGAAGGTAACGGCACTCCATGCAGTCATGCTGGCCACACGACCTTGGAGGTGTCTATGGACAACGCTGGCTCTTCGGCTTAGAAATGGAGATCAACACCAACCCCAAGAGCCAGACACAAATAGACTTAATGTCAGGGGAAACCTTTACCTTTAAGCCATTTTAGGCTGTCTGAAATGATGGGAAGTATACAAAAGTCAGCCTAAAATGCCTTCAGGGTCCAAAAATGTGGTGGCAATTCCACCTGGAAGACATTTGGGGTGTCCTGGCAATAAAATTAGCCCATTGCCCACCTCTGCTAGAGAGAAATTCTTGCCTTGGGCATGTTCACTACCATTTTGTCCCCTTGCAAAGTTTCCCAAGCTCTTCTCAAATCAGTGCCATTTAAAGGCAAGGTGGGCAACTTCATATCATTTATTTTATTGGGTCCATGGACACAATTAGGTCCATCCATGAGCTTTAAGGATTCAGAGGAAATAAATCAGGGGTCACATCATTTTAAACAAAAGCTCCATCGTGCTAGCTTCATAGCTTTTCCTAGAACTGGTTTGCAACTGGGATTTTGACATTTTGCCATGGTACCTCCAAGCCATAGGTCAGGCTTGGCGTTTGTCCTTTATGGGGATGCAATCCTTGAGTGCTGAGACAATCACTGCTGCGCCCTAGCTCTTTCCTCCCTGCTGCCTTATTTCGTGGCCTCTCCAATGTTTCTCATCTTTGCAGAAATGCCATCGAGTATAACTGGGGCCAGCTTAGACAACTGCCCTTCGAGGAGGAGACAGGCAGCAGCTATTTGCATTTTATGAAGTGGAAGCAAAGAGAGATTCACCTTGGGCAGGCATGGGCAAACTTCGGCCCTCCAGGTGTTTTGGACTCCAACTCCCACAATTCCTAACAGCCGGTAGGAAGTTGGAGTCCAAAACACCTGGAGGGCCGAAGTTTGCCCATGCCTGACCTTGGGTTATTCAGTTGTTCCTTTCAAGAACCCAAAGCTAAGACCAAAACCAATAATAATAATAATAATAATAATAATAATAATAATAATAATAATACACTTGCTGCTGTGGAAGTGCTCAGTGTTACCCAAATTACAAAATATTGTTTTGCACGTGTTGTTTACCGCATGAAATTATTAATGGGTCGAACAAAAAAGCAGTGGCTGGTGGCTTCTCTATGAATCCGCTTTGGGTTCCAGTCCGAAGTTTAGAAGCACTCTCGAAGTTGCTGGCTTCTTTTCCCCAAAAAGCTTCAGCACCTTGGAGAGATCCTTTCACAGCTAAAGGGAAAACCTGGGGCGGATTCACTGCCCCGGAGACATGGAAGCCTTTCATTGTGCACATTTCCAGTCTCACCTTTTCCCAAATGGCACTTTTAATTGCTGCTAAGCAAGGAATAATATATGAATACATATATATATTTCAAATGGATGGGTGTATTTGGAAACAAAAGGCTTGGAGACTGATATATTGTATACAATCGTTACCAAATTCAATCAGTATTTTGAGCATTGCCAGGATTATAGACACCCAACCAGATAGACTATCTGGGTGTCTTTTGACCTAAAGCAGCATTCTAATTGGCACTTGGTTCTTCCCAAGGGACAGGATGGGCAAGTATCCATTTTTAGCCTCATTGATGCTTATGGGAGGTTGCTGTTGTTCCCATTGTATAGAAACCAAAGTCCTGCAAGCGCCAATGCATTCTTCCTCTGTAGTCTCAGAAACGAGGAGAGGGCAGAAACCTTCACCCTTCTCGATGTATTTGACTCCAACTCCTATAACATGGATGATGTCTCTGTTGTCTCTGAACAAGGAATACCCGAAGGACCACCAAAGATTTTTCAGCCATAGATGCATGGATTAGAAGGAAACGTCTGGCCTTTTATCTCCATGACTATATGGAAGCATTTATCAGCACTGGCATCAGATTAAGAACCAAAGATACCGGAAAGGGTAGCAAGTTGTGTTTGAATGTGTGCAGCCAAATATGGTTGAACATCGAGGGCAGATTTTTGAGTCTATTTTCTCAGGGGAATCTATGCTTCACCTGGAGTTTATTTCTTTCCTTTTAGCCAGGGCATCGTCATAGGCTACTTGGCCACCACCACCACCACTGATATCTTGTTCCTGTTAGAGCAAGGATTTGTACAGAAGACCCAAGGTGGTGGCCCTTCTGTCTCATCCTCATTTTGGAATCCAGCTTCTAGAATTCCCCAACCAGCACACTCAAAAATCCAACTTTTTCAAGCTCTAACCAATGTGCATAACTCAAGGAAGGCTTATGAATTTGATGGTTCCTCCAAATGGTCTTCCCTGGTGGTTCCTCCAGATAGTCCTCCTCGATGGTTCCTCCAAGTCATCCTCCTTGATGGTTCCTCCAAGTAATCCTCATTCAGATGTCTTCCTTGATGGTTTTTTCAGGGGATTTCCCTGATGGTTCCTCCAGATAGTCCTCCTTGATGGCTCCTCCAGGTGGTCTTCTCTGATGGTTCCTCCAGATAGTCCTCCTTGATGGTTTCTCCAGGTGGTCTTCTCTGATGGTTTCTCCAGACAGTCCTCCTTGATGGTTCCTCCAGGTGGTCTTCTCTGATGGTTCCCCCAGGTCATCCTCCTTGATGGTTTCTCCAGGTGGACTTCCTTGATGATTCCTATAGATAGTCCTTCTTGATGGTTCCTTCATGTGGTCTTCCCTGATGGTTCCTCCAGATAGTCCTCCTTGATGGTTCCTCCAGGTGGACATTCCTTGATGGTTTCTACAGATAATCCTCCTTGATGGTTCCTTCATGTGGTCTTCCCTGATGGTTCCTCCAGGTGGTCTTCCTTGATGGTTCTTACAGATAATCCTTTTGATGGTTTTTCTGGGTAATCATCCTTGATGGTTCCTTCAGGTTGTCTTTCCTGGCGGTTCCTCTAATAGTCCTCCTTGATGGTTTCTCCAGATGAATTTTCTTGATGGTTCATTCGGGTAGTTGTCATTGATTATGCCAACAGGTAGTCTTCCTTCGTGGTTCCTACAGGTGATTTTTCTAAGGCAATACCCCTTCCATGGCTCATATTGTTTTTGAAGTCCAGCTCCCATAATCTCCCAGCCAGCCCACTCCAAAACCCAACCTTTCCAAGTCCTAGCCAATGAGCATAACTCAAGGACGGCTTAAGAACTTGATGGTTCCTGCAGATGACCTTCCTTGAATGTTCCTACAAGTAGTTTTCCTTTATAGTTCCCACAGGTGGTCTTCCATTATGGTTCCGATTTCCATAATGGTCCCTACAAGTAGTCTTCCTTGATGGTTTCAGGTTCCCTTCCTACAGGTGGTTTTCTTTGATAGTTCTTCAAAGTGCTCTGCCTTGATGGCTCCTCCAGATATTCTTCCTTGAATTACACTCAACCAGAACTTGTAATTCCTTGAATTACACTCAACCAGAAAAGTTACTTTTTTTGGAAGTTGCTGGTAAGGGATTTTCCCAATACTCCATTCAAAAGTCAAGTTTCCAAGCCCAGGTTCCTCTCTTCCCCTATGTATGAATGTATACAAGACTGAGCTCATTCTCAAGAGAGTGTTTGCATAAACAAACTCTCCTTCCATGCATCCAAGAAGCGGATTTGCAATCCTAACCATTGGTGCTAAGACAGAGGAGGCGGGGATGTGGGGCAAAGTGTGTTAAGGTCCATCCTTCTGCTCCTTCCTGCGTTCCCTCCAAAGTCATGCAATAAGTAAAGGGTTTCTCTGAACAAATCATGAACAAATCTCTGTGTGTTTTCCTCCAAATTTTGCCTGCAGCTCTTCTCTCCCAGTCATTTCAGCGTCTGGAAATAAACCTAGCTCTGGTTTTCCTTCTCAGTGTTTAGCATTGTGGGTGGATTTAGATCTACTGTGTGTATCGTATCAGAGAAAGAAAATTGTGTCTTTTAATGCACGTAAGCAACCAAAGGGGATTGGTTGTGCCAGAAAAGCATTAAACCTGTTTGAAAACTGGAAATGGGAAATCTAAGAAGAAGGCAATGACATATGCACACTTACTCATGTGTGAATGGGGTTTACTCACTATGTAGCTATGCTTAGGATGGCAACCTGACAGGTTTTGAAATCAGTCTTGATGCAGATTCTTCCAAAAGAAGCACCTTCGGGGATCATGTCATTCTATGATGTTATATAGCCCTATAATTCTACTTTACCATTCTTGGGATTTATAGTATAGGGAAGACCATGGGACCCTGGGATTTGTAGTATAGGGAGTGCCATTTGAAACACTCAGTGAGGGAATAGTAGCATCTCCCTAAACTACAAATCTCAGAAATCCATGGGATACAACTATGGCAGTTAAAGTGGAATCATGGTGCAATATATATGTGTGTGTGTGTGTGTGTGTGTATGTGTATATATACGTGTGTATGTATATGTGTATAAACACATATGTGTGTGTGTGTGTGTGTGTATGTATATATTAGTCATGGGCAATCCATGGCTCTAAAGTACTTACAAAACTAAAGTTCTGGTGGTGAAAAGTAGGGGGCACTGATGCTTTGCTTCTACAGTGTTGTTAAAGTTCTGATGGTGAAAATTACAGAACTCTAACAAAACTTCCAAAATTTCATTATAAATGGAAGTTCCTAATTGGTTCTCTCTCTGTGTGTGTGTGTGTGTGTGTGTGTATTAGTCATGGGTAATCCATGGCTCTAAAGTACTTACAAAACTAAAGTTCTGGTGGTGAAAAGTAGGGGGCGCTGGTGCTTTGCTTCTACAGTGTTGTTAAAGTTCTGATGGTGAAAATTACAGAACTCTAACAAAACTTCCAAAATTTCATTATAAATGGAAGTTCCTAATTGGTTCTCTCTCTGTGTGTGTGTATTAGTCATGGGCAATCCATGGCTCTAAAGTACTTACAAAACTAAAGTTCTGGTGGTGAAAAGTAGGGGGCGCTGGTGCTTTGCTTCTACAGTGTTGTTAAAGTTCTGATGGTGAAAATTACAGAACTCTAACAAAACTTCCAAAATTTCATTATAAATGGAAGTTCCTAATTGGTTCTC